GTTTGATACATGGAAAATCACAAACAAAGTATAACCTCATAGGTTTTTCATCTCGTATTTCATGTCATGTGGAGAATTTTCGGTTTTTTTTGGAAAAAAAAAGATAACATCTTTAAAACGAAAGTATTCCAGTTGGATTAATTTTGAAGTCTACTATGAAATATATATTCGATTGCCTAATATTTGACTATGTGTTAAATAACGTACTAACATCAAAATAGATGAGCAATTTCTGGTCCAACTGCATGTTCCTATACCCTAAATAATTATTTTAGCAGAAACCATGCTTTAATCCCAGTTTGTCACTACTAAATTCTTATAAAATATTTCAAATTGAAATAGATATCACTGATGCATCGTAATTCATGAAACTCACTAATAAATTGACTAAAAACTCTTGAGTACATTCCACATGAAATTGTAAATGATGCTTCATGAGAAAGCCTAAACTAAAATTATCTAATATTACGTGATTTTATAAGTTCAGTCTTGTAAAGAATGTTTCACTCTACGATGGAACATATGAGTAGAATCGATTTTAATTCTTAACTATTGTTTATTTGATATAAATAATGACAAGAACCGATTTTAAGAGGTTCAGTATGTACTCAAACTTGATATTAAAAATTTTTCTTTATCCTTCAAACTTATTTATGAGCAATTTAACTGATGTTTAGTACTAATTTAAAAAAAGTTCTATTTTTAAATAAAAGAATGAATCATAAAGAAAAGTGTCTAAATTAAAACTGACTAAAATCGGTCGACAAGCAAATCAACCTTAAACAGTCAGTAATTAAGGATGAACACTTAAAGGCTTACAAGAATAGATAAGCATTAGAGATAAATACTAAATGTTAATTAGTCGGTCTTATTGTCTGATCATTAATATTGATGAAATTTTTTAGTCCTACTTTTCAATATGGTTGATAATCTACTTTGAAATCGTGAATCGATCAATGTTACACCACCATTAGAAACCTGGAAGCACTGAACGGCAGTTTCGTCCTGGTATGAGACTCATCAACAGTGCACACCCACGACTCTTGTGCATCACAGGATTCGAACCCAGAACGTTCGGTCTTGCGCACAAACGTCTAACCTCTGGACCACTGAGCCAGTATCTGACGGTGTTAATGTGTCAGTTTGTGATAGCCAAACAAATAAAACCACTAAGAGAGTATCATATTCTAGAACAGTGTTCTTGTATTACATAATATTTCGTACAGAATGTTACTGATAGTTGTTTGATATTAATTTATAATGCAATACATATTATTTATTTATATTAAATGTTTATAACCAAATGTTAGGACATCTTTTCTACCGAGTAATGTCTAAAATCCTTCTACTCATTCTAAAAGACATTTTCTTTATTTCTATAGTATCACTGGATATGATCTCTGGAAAAAATTACTTTGAAGCTGAACACTATTTACAAACCATTTATTTTAAACAATAACAGAATAGTTAACAAAGTACATACATGCACGGAAACTAAAAACATTAATAACACTGCAGGAAATTGAGCTATCAAATCTCTTCGTTGTCATTATGAGTTGAAGAGATGGTTAAGTTTCATTGAAATTATTACTTGATCAATGTTAGACTACCACTGGAAATCTCGAAGCATTAGACGGCCGATTCATCGTAGTATAGATCTCATCAACACTGTGCACAAACGACCCTGTAAGCAGGAATCGAATCCCGGACCATCGGTCTGGCGGATCAATGTCTAACCTCTAGATCACTAAGCCGTCATCGAATGTTGCTGGTGTCTAACTTCAATCAATCCACAAAATTGCGCGACCTCATTCATTGTCTTCGGTAGGTAACTACCTCACACCTGATACGGTTGAACAGCCTCTCACTAACACTGCGAAAATTCCTCACAAAGCTAGTCAGTAACTGAACGGTTAGCACACACACACACACAATGTAACTGCTTATTCAAATATGAATGCCATCTAGATAGCGTAAATAATTAAATGAAATGTAGTTAACGTCAAAAACTGTTCACGAAAAGCTATATTTTTCTAAAAATTAATAACTAGAAAATTTTATGCCCATACTTAACAGACAAACATGATTTCATCAGTCACTATATATATATATATATACATAATTTTATTGGATTGATTTTTATTTTGTAAAAATTGATTTAAATTTCATTTGTATCCGTAATTAAAATCTTCCCATTGACAGTTAAGTCTGTAAATAACCAGTCTTATTTGGCATAAATGCATCCTGTAAGAATTGCCTTGATGTAGCCATTAAGTTACAGGCATTAGATAGGCTAAGTAGCTAAGTGGATAGATAATACGATGGTACTTGGAGCGAATGGCACTGGGTTCGAGTCTCAGAGTAAATATGGACTCTGAGATTTGGGTACATCCAGCTGACGAATCTCAAATAGGACGAGATTAACGTCCTAGATTCTACTGCTAACCACTATCCATCTTTGTTTATGATGATTGTAAATTCTTTAATTATTATTTCCCATGATACTGAATTGGCAAAGCCAACTGTATTGGATAAATGAACCGACTTTTACTACCGTAAAACCAAGTTATACTTTTGCATCATATAGAATCGAAGGTAAAATATAACATTTGAACTAAATTGTATGATAATTTTAATTATAGTCTTGGCAATCTAGTGAATAAACGCATTGGCTGAGGTCTAATGTTGAAATGAATGACACATCTAATGTTCAAGTACTACAATGTAGATTTTAGGTTTTTCATAAAATACATAATGAACAAAATATTGACCAATACAGCACAACACAACACGTATTTTTATCCTGAGATAAAACTAGTTTCTCAATCGTCACTAAAAAAAATCTACAATATTTGAGATTCCTTCATGAACAAATACTAAGCTGTAGTGGAATTTTAAATTCAAAATGTTACACCAAGACGTATGCTTAAACTAATATTGTAGCATTATAATTAATGAGCTATTTTGTATCCACAATTTCATACCTTTATCTTCGACCAAACCAATCAGGTTGAATCATTATGTTCATTTTTAACAATAAGACTACTGTGCATAGCATTTTGGAAATCCTTGATTCACCTATATTTGTATTTACTTGAGCTTTTTACCCCTCACGGAATTTAGGCCATCAAACAGCAATCTCAAACCAACTCTGTCCACTGTTCTCTTTGTTCAGTTCTTGTCAATTTCTATTCATTCTTTTCATATTTGTCTCCCGTTCTCATCTCAAAGCCTTACTCATTCTACCTCTTTTTCTTCAGCCTTCAAGATTATAAGTTAGGGTTTGACTCGTCATACAATTAGTTGATTTCCAAAATGTTTGTAATATCCACCTCTATCGCATTTTCCTAATTTCTTCCTCATTTGAAATCTAGTTTGTTTTATCCCAAAGTAGATTGTTGTTGATTGTGTCCGGTCAACGTATCTCTAGTATATTGTGCTGACAATTGTCAACAAATACCTGTATCTTTTGAATGATAACTTTCATTATTCGCCAAGTTTTTGCTCCATACAAGAGAACTGTCTTGATATTTGCATTGAGAATTCTGAGTTCATAGTTGGATGACAGTGGTTGTGGGTTCCAAATGTTCTACAGTTTTAGGAATGCTCCCCTTGCTTTTCCAATCCATGCATTCACATTTGCAGTAGATCTTCCTCGTCTACCAATGATGCTGTTCAGGTACGTGAATTCCATACATCAAGCAGAGCTTTACCATCAGGTGTGGTTTGGCTGTTTAGTGTTCACCATGTTGCGTTTTAAGATCCTGCTCCTTCCCTTGTGTATGCTCAGTCCTACTGTTGCACAGTCTGCTTTTATGATGGTCATGTTCTCCTGCATTTGTTAGTGTTTATGAGAAAGGAGATCTAGGTCATCGTTAATATCGAAATCATCTAGTTGCATCTGAGCTGTCTGTTGTATCGCTTGTTTCCCCTGAGATGTAGATGTCTTTATAATCCACTTAACCACCAGAAGAAAGAGTGAAAGTAAGCGACTTTGTCTGACCCCGGTCTTCACTTGGAAAACATCTGTGAGTTGTCCTCCATACACGATTCTGCAGTGCCCGTCGTCACCTGGTTACTTGCTTCTATATATCTGGCCTGTGCTTGAACTTTCTATGCCTTTTTGGGCTATTACTGATTTCTATCTTCCTTTTCTTCATTTCTTGAATCTTATTCAGATTATCAACAAAGATCCACGCACTGTGATGGTGGTTTATGTGGCCCAAAACCTCATGACATGCTGAAGTTAATGTTTCTTTAACCCCTTTCTAGTCGTTGTCTGTATTAGTTTCCTTTCATTAGAGTAGATCGAGCTGGGCTTGGAACTTGTGGCTGAGATTTATCTTGGATTCTGTCAGTCTACCAGTATCCCTAAGAAAGTCCCTATTAAACTTTGTAATGACGTTTCTCCTGTTGTCCAGTGTTTCTTTGGCTTCGATTTCATCTTGGTCGCCAATAGATGATAATTTGAGCTGCTCCTTTTATTCTTATGTTTTCCATTGTCCTTCTGAACTTTTTATTGATACAGATGTCATCAATTTGGTTCTCTATAGTTTGTTTGCGTGAAACCCGTGTAGCTTTGTGTATGCCCATGTGGGGTAAGTACCACCAGTATTCTGAATACTTTAAAATGATAATAATCAATTATTGTGTTCCCTGATTCCTCGTAAATTTTACAGCCTATAAATTTCCGACATCGTTTAGAGTGAAGTTGCTTTGACTTTGAAATATCAGTGGCTAGCTGAGATTTGTGTGCAGTTGCAACGAATTTGAAAATCCGCTAAAGTTTCGTCCATCATCTAGATTCATATTTTATGAAATATTACTGTTGAAATAAGTCTCTCTCCATCTTGAATTACATGTTAATATTAATTTCTTGCTTTCCCTTGTACAATCAAGTGGATAACCATGATTGTTTTCCATGTTCTAGATATCAGAATTCAGTCAAGAACGGAACAAAAATATACCAAGAGTTAAACATTAAATAGTCATCCAAAGTAATGAAGTCTACTACTACTACTACTACTACTACTACTACTACTACTACTACTACTACTACTACTACTACTACTACTACTACTACTACTACTACTACTACTACTACTACTACTACTACTACTACTACTACTACCACTACTACTACTACTACTACTACTACTACTACTACTACTAGCCAATTAATAAATTACTTTCTCAGATCTACATGTTAAAATAAAAGTTAACTGATCACTGCTTACAATAGTTATGAAAACGAATTCTAATTGATCTGCATATTACTATCAAGGTGATAACTAAAACTTGCATAAGTAGTCGAAATTAAATTGACAAATTACTATTCTAATCCTTGTAATGTTATGATGACGTTCAGATTGATTACAATTACTTCTAAAACTGGATAAAACTAATGTAATTTAGTTTATGAAGTATAAATGCAAGTTCATTTTTATATATTGTTTTTTTTCTGTTAACTGGATGCTTATTGTATACTAACAAAACTCTCGCTTCTTTTTGATATTATTTATTATTCTCTTCAACCTCACCATTTTTTTATTATTCAGACAGCATATTTACATATATGCATAGGCTTAACTCAAATGAGGGTAGGGTATATGACAAAATTATATATATATACACTCGTATCTTGATGACGTGTCCCCGGACATATGTTACTTTCAACCTCATGAGAGTCATTAAATAGCCATAAAATAACGACATTCCAGACAAGTTTGTCACACTCATTCACTGATAAACACATATTCATATACCCAATAGATTTTTTTTTTCTGCATACACACAAATATACTTTCGCTTATCAATGATGAATACAAATTTTCAGCAACTGTTTACCAAAAAGAAATCACTTGGAACAATACCATAAACAGGTTAGGTTAGAAAAATAGGGGATACAATGCACATAAAATAAAGGAAAATGTCAAATATAATCTAGTGTAAACATGAGTAAATTCATGAACGGTGCAAAGATTTAGATTTATTTGGGAAATAAACAGAGAGTTTTTAGGTAAAGTTGGATAGTAGCTAATGGAGGATTGCTGGAAGCTTGTTTCATCAAGAAGATGAATATCCATCCCAGCTTCAAATTTCATCAAAGGGCTAGAAGCAAGCATTTTCGCTGCCGATGTTGAACGCACCATTCACCAAGCCGTTGGATCCAGATAGATGCTAACTTGTGTTCACAAGGATAGATTTTGTTATTGATTTATTTGTTTTGGTTCAAATAATCCGATTGTTGATGTTGATGATTAAAATGTGATCATTTCCTTGTTGTCATATGGATATCCTGTACGGATCGCTTCGATCTGGCCATTCAGACAGGAGTTGTAAACAGGATAACTGGGTACCCTTCGCAGTGATTTTCTGATTACTGCAACTTATCATTGCACAGGCTGCGTGTTGAATCACCACTTTACTCTCTCTCTCTCTCTCTCTATAAATACATAAATATAATATATAATATATATATCTTACAGTAAATCCAAAACGTTACAGTTCCTTAAACTCGATATTTTCATCATTGTTTCCTTTCTTTTTATGGCTTTGATAACATAAGAGTTTGGTAATCATAGTTTAACAAATAAAATTTACGAAAATAAACATAGATATTTATATTAATATGCAACACATTTGTTTGAATGAATATATTTTTATTATTGACACATGAAATTAGACTTGTTATAATATTAGACATTCAATTGTCAAAAGTTTAAAAGGTCAGTAACTATAATCATAAATTATTTTATATTATTAATTGGTTTGTACTTATAGTGAAATGAAATCAGTCATTAAAATTATGAATTTATTTATGATATAATTACTCCGAATATATGAGTTCTTAAATCAAAAGAAAGGAAGAAAGGCTGAGATATTTTCTTTTAAGGGCATAAAAGGAATTGTGAACCATGCGTGGCTTGAAATATTATTTACAAGAATACTAGGAGGTGTTATTGCAACTGTGAAATTCTAAATTATGTCACCTGGCATTTCATTCTTTAACTTCACTTATTCCTTTAGGAGTATTCCAAGTTTAATCTCCAACTAAATTTGAAATTATTCTCCTTTTTACGCTTATCATCATGTCAATTTCCTCAAATTGTAGTGATTTAAGATCTAGCAAGTTGTATACTGTGCCAAGTCGTACCTTGACTGATTGAGAACAGAAGAGAGACATGAAAATTTTCATATCTGTGGTCGTTGGTGAAAATAGGAAACAAGTGCATATTTCAAACCAGTTTTTCACACCAGCTAGATACAAAGACCTCATCTAGTGAATGTTCACAATTTTCACTTATATTTACACGTTCTCTGATAAATTTACATCTTCAGTAGTTGCTTCACTGTTAAGTCAATTTCATATGATTTTTTCTGCCCATTTAATCGGAAATTTTCTTGTGAGGGGAGAATGCAATCTTTGACAAAACATTCATAGGATACAGTTACGAGTCAGGAAGACATCTGTATTTAAGGTTGGAAGTGAAAGTCATCGTGAAAAGAAGCTGTTACTAGCTCAATATTTACTGCTAGTAAGTAAAAATTCATAAGTGTATCTTAGATTATATGAGAGTTTACATAATTTCCGTTTATTAAAACAATCATTCATCATTAGTGATTCTTTCTTTGTCGAATCATTCTTTTCTATTTAACTTACAATACAGTGACTTTCTGTTTATAATACAATCAACGAAATTCACAACTAAGTAATTTGGTTATTTTGTCTCTGGTTTGTTCAACCGAAATTGAACTCTATCATTAAACTATTTAACAAATTGACTAGCTGGTAATTTGTAAGATTCTTTTGTAAAGAATGATAAAAAATTTATACATAGAGTTGTAGTATATCCTACATTAAAACGTCCATATTAAACCTTTTTTCTCTAAATTTGTCCACTCAAAATAGACTTGAAAATGAAGTTAAAGTACCCTAGAAACTTGCTTAAACTTTTCCTATTCACCATGTCAATACAATTAGTTGTTAGATCTACAGTGTTTTGATGCAATCATAGTTAAGTTACCAAGTTAATCATGTTCCTCAATCACTTAGGTCAAATTAGGTGTAGATGTACATGTGGACTTTAGGATCTATTTTCCCTTTATATTCTGTTAGCAACAGCTAAACAGTTAACAACACATTTGTCTATCTCATCACTTTCAATGTACATACTACTTGTTTTCTACTACGCTGGCGATTGAATAAAAACTGATCACGTGAAAATTTTAAAAATTTTCTGTTGATTAACTGTCACTTTGTTAAATGACGCAATCACTACGAATAAACTGACAAAAATAATACCAACAAATTCAAACAGCAACAAAAACAAAACAAAATTTGGAATGAAAATAATTTATTCATTTAATTACTGTTTATTTAAACGAGTCTAGTCCTGTTGAGAGTGAAAGATTGATTTTTAAATGAATATAAAGAATTCTGTAAGACTTCAAATAAAATCGATCACAAGTATTCTACGGTTAAGTGATCATTTGGCAATTGATTCAAGCAAGAATAGCACATTTGTTTATTACTTCATAGTTTTCAATAGTTCCTCGGCTAATTTCCATTTCTAATGCAAAGAAAATCGTATACAAGCTTCGTTTTATTATATTTTCTGTATTCTGCATATTTTTCTAGATATGACGAAATTGTGAAATCAAAATAATTGATTGGGGATCATTTCTCTTCTTTACTAATGTAAAGTAATTCAATTCAATATTTTTCGACTGGAAGATATAGCTAGTAATTAGATGTTAGTTTTGTTAAAACAATTCACAATGTGGCCTGAGTGATGTCTGATATCACTTTATAAACACTGCATGTAGCATTCTAATATACAGTAGTGTAGTTCGTTTTTTTTATCCTTCGACAACTTATCGCCAGTATCTTTGTCAGATTGCTATACTTCTAACGCTTCTTCAGTGTTTAACGGTAATTTAGCACTCACTCTTGATTTCCAATGAAAAGCAAGATAAGAAACAATTAACAGGTCGTCTATACACATTTTGGTAAAACTTTGACAACTGGATAATAGAATAATATTTTAATGTTCAAGTTAATAACTAGAGAAACTATACACAGTGAGCACGTGAATCTCTCTCAACAACAAAAACAAAAAACAAGAAAAAAACAAAAGAAGAAAAAAAAACCAACACGGAGGAGAGGAAAGAGAGAGATTCACGTGCTCACTGTGTTAGTTTCTAGTTATTAACTTGAACATTAAAATATTATTCTATTATCCAGTTGTCAAAGTTTTACCAAAATGTGTATAGACGACCTGTTAATTGTTTCTTATCTTGCTTTTCATTGGAAATCAAGAGTGAGTGCTAAATTACCGTTAAAACACTGAAGAAGCGTTAGAAGTATAGCACTCTGACAAAAATACTGGCGATAAGTTGTCGAAGGATAAAAAAGCGAACTACGCTACTGTATATTAGAATGCTACATGCAGTGTTTGTAAAGTGATATCAGATATCACTCAAGCCACATTGTGAATTGTTTTAACAATCTTCCAGTCAGTTACTTAAACATCTATTCTATAGTTTATTGAATTATTTTACATTAGTAAAGAAGAGAAATGATCCCCAATCAATTATTTTGATTTCACAATTTCGTCATATCTAGAAAAATATGCAGAATACAGAAAATATAATAAAATGAAGCTTGTATACGATTTTCTTTGCATTAGAAATGGAAATTAGCCGAGGAACTATTGAAAACTATGAAGTAATAAACAAATGTGCTATTCTTGCTTGAATCAATTGCCAAATGATCACTTATCCGTAGAATACTTGTGATCGATTTTATTTGAAGTCTTACAGAATTCTTTATATTCATTTAAAAATCAATCTTTCACTCTCAACAGGACTAGACTCGTTTAAATAAACAGTAATTAAATGAATAAATTATTTTCATTCCAAATTTTGTTTTGTTGTTATTGCTGTTTGAATTTGTTGGTATTATTTTTGTCAGTTTATTCGTAGTGATTGCGTCATTTAACAAAGTGACAGTTCATCAACAGAAAATTTTTAAAATTTTCACGTGATCAGTTTTTATTCAATCGCCAGTGTAGTAGAAAACAAGTAGTATGTACATTGAAAGTGATGAGATAGACAAATGTATTGTTAACTGTTTAGCTGTTGCTAACAGAATATAAAGGGAAAATAGATTCTAAAGTCCACATGTACATCTACACCTAATTTGACC